ATGGATTTAAAAGATGTTGATGAAAAATGAAATGCATGACATAAGATGGATTAGAAACTGTTGGTTGAAGCCCATCTAATACTGTACTGATCAGAATGATTAGTGATTTACGTTATCAAATCGTAATGTGAAAGACTTTGAATATAAAAATAGGTTTGAGTTCCCGTTCCTCAAGTATGTCTCCTGTTATTACTTCAAGAAAGTGCTACTCATACTTACTGTTTGCAAGATGAACTGCGATATGGCCTTTTTTGTGCCTATGATATATGTCTCCGCCCTTTGTCTCTTTTGTGAAAACAATAGGGGGTGTTTGACAACAATCACATTTGGAGCACTAGTCCCACTAACGTGAGGATCTGATGAACAATATTGTTTAGAATATAGTACCAATTTAAGTATACATAGATTATATTTTTTTAGGGAGATAATCTAGTGTTATTAACATTGCGTCCTAAGTCTAACTTGCTTAGGCCACTGCGAGTGAATAAGATGGTTGGGAAGTACATACAATATAGCTTCCACGATTTTGCGTTCGATTCTAGATTGGATTATCTAAAAATTCTAACATTCCAACTTAGTTAGAACACCTCATATTCATAGAGAAGGCAAATGTGTGTGTGAGAGAGAGAGAGCGAGAGAGAGAGAGAATGTGTATGTTCAGAGAAAGTTTGGCTATATTACCAAATTGGTATTCTAAGTTGACCCCTTAACTGATAAGGTCTTTTTTTCCACTCAGGTGACAATAAGGCATTCTAAGTTTCACACGGTGACAACTAGGTCTAATTTCATGCCCGACCAGCATTGTCTCCAGCAATCGACCTCACGTGACCCGCGCGTGATCACTTAATCCAACGTGGGTAGATGATGTGGCAAAGGTTAAACGGGGATCATGACCACCCTAAGATCCCAATTCAACCCCAAAATACCCAGATTCCCCTTCCTCACCAAATTGACCTAAAAATTGAACAGCAGAAGGAGAGAAGGAGCGAAATTTGAAGGTGGAAGAAGTTATCGTACTGAATTCAGAGATTCCCTTTTAGGAGTATGTGATTGGCAGCAGAAGATTGGCCTTGGGAAGATAAAGATGAGATAGAATCTCGTTGAATTTTGAGAGATTCGTCAACCAAGGGCCAAAAAGGTGAGAATCTCTGTACTTGGTGTAGATTTGATGTAGATTTTGAATGATTATGTTGAGATAATTTAAGTGGAAAGCAATATATATGCAAATTAGTGTTTTTTTTGGTTAATCACGGTTGTGGGTTTTTTCAAATATAGTGACAATGTGTGTGAAATTTTAAAATTCATGTTTAATTTGTTTTTGGTTTTATACTGTGCAAATGAGTAGGCCTCTAATGATAAGATTTAGACATGAGGGGGCACTTTGATTTTGGTCCAAATGTGAAACACACATGGGGTGATTTCGGTGTTGGGATCATTAACGTGGATTCCATATCTATTGAGCTCTTGACAAATAGGAGTAAAGAGTTTGGTTACAATATTTGTGGAGAGTTTGTATTACTTGATAACTGGTGTTGGATTGAGAAGTGGAGGTTCGTAGCCCTAAAATACAGATCAAGACCTTGCAATCATGGTTGCACTGGATCATAGGGTAATAGAAGTTTATGCAAATCATGGTGTTGACGTGCCATCAGAAGTGTTAGAACCTAATCCTAAAAAAGGGATAATCCTACATCTAACCCTAATATGACATCTCCAACAAGAAATTCACCTTAGTTAGGGAGAAAGAAACTAACACCAAAAGGAAAAGCAAAGGTAACTGAGGGTCAACCAAGTCTTGTACACTCCACAAACCTCACTCTAGCACTACTACATATTCCTAAAAAAAAAAATCAACCCTTACCTATAAATAAAGAATCTTCCTCCATTGATGATGATGACTCAATGGAGGATGAAAAATTATAGCATTGACCCTTTTAAGCCATTAGATGATAATGAGGGTGGAGATCACGAATTCATAGAAGAATTTAGGAGACATAATTTGGAAGGAAAAGGAAAGGAAAAACTATAATTTAGATGATAATGTAGGAGACATAATTTAGGAGACATTAGATGATAATGTAGTCCTGTGTGATAACACAAGACTACATGTAAACCAATGTGCACAAGAGAGGGTTGACAATGTGAGTTACATGAAGTTAGGAAGAGGAACAAAGAATTGCCAAATTTTAAAAAAGGGAGGATAGCAATCAATTTAGGAGCAATGTTGGTAGATGATGGTGAGGGTCCCCCTACTATATTTTATAAGCCACCACAAGCTGTATTGTTACAAACTGCACCACAACAACAAGAGAGGGAGGAGAAAAATACTCCATTACAAGCAGGATCTCATGAACCACATGCATAATATAACCAGGTAAGTTCGTGATAATTCATAAATTATTAATGATAGTGCATCTTGTACACCATATTGCATATTATCCTTGAATACATTTTTTTTGAAAGGAAGAAGCAGGGTGAGAACCCCTGCTCATTATATATAAAACTGTAAAAACCAAAAACTGTGATAAGTATATACAAATGAACACGTAAAGAGGAAGAAGAGGAGCCAGGAGAAGAAATTTTCGGATGGGAGCGGACCTTGTCGTCATCAACCAGAAAATTTCTCCACTGGCTCCTAGCTTCCTAGGGGAGAAAACAAAACAAGGAGGAGAGCCACATCAGGGGAAAGATCTAGGTTTAGTTAAAGTTATTACAAAAGATCTGACCAAAAGAAACCAAAAGCTAGAGATCTGAAGAAGCCACCACTTGTGAGTACTAGGATTAGCTTGGGAAATTCTCTCCCTTATTGTCCTCCAGACTGGATTTGGCCCCCTTGAATACATTATTTACTGAATTCACAGGATCATCCACATGAAGCTATACAAAGAGGGATGTTACATGAGGATGGCATTGTTGGTGGACAAGAACGTACATGACCTTTTTGAGGATTTGAATATTCGTGGGTCACACTCTATAGAGGCACAATGCCTAGCTAATCTTATTGGCCTCCTCATTGGACCAGACCAACTACGAGGGAGGTTATCATAGTGAGCAAAGAGAGACCGATAATGAAGAGCCTTTGTATGATAGTGAAGAAATGGAACCAGTTCAGAAAAAGGAAAAAGAAAAGAAACTGAAAATAAATTATAAGTATTTTAATGAGGACGCAGATATGAATTTAGTTCATTTGGAGGGAGGTATATTTTTTTTCCCTTCTTATAGCATTCACTTTGGTGTATTGATTTAAGATATTTGTCTATTTATAATGTGACTTAATTAATCTGTTCTAACTATTGATGCACGATTAAAGTTCACATCTAGAATTTTTTTTGAAAGAAGCAATTTTGAATTACTCCATTTAGAAGCACTATGATCTTGTGCACTTAAAAAAATTGACAAACAGAGAATTGATCTATTATTCAAATGGGGACCGATAAAATTCTCTCTTATTTGAATTGCTCCTTTAGATTATACAAAAGGTCACTTAGCGCTTCAGCCCGATCCTCGGCCCATTGGCCCACGGTCCACTATAACTTATGAGGGATTAATCAAAATAAGACATTTTTCGACTTGGCCTCGAACAATGGACCTTTTGAAACAACAAAAGATTTACTTTCCACTAGGCTACTAAACATTTATGAAAAGTACTTGTAGTTAATATATATATAGTTTGAAAACTCATTTTGAAAAGCGGTTTTGACAAAAAAATCCAACAATTATACACTTTTTGGGGGGAGATAATCTAGTATTATTAACATTGCATCCAAATAAGTCTAACTTGCTTAAGCCACCTCGAGTGAATAGGATGGTTGGAAGTTCTAATATGGCTTTCCACTATTTTGGATTCGATTCTGAAATAGAGTATCAAAAAAGCCTAGATTGATTAGAATATCTCATATTCGTAGAAAAGGCAACATTCTAAACGAACGAATGCTGAGAAAAGAGAGAGATGCAATGTCATAACGAGATAGTTTGAAAGTATATTAAAGCATCATACAATCAGGTGCTGTGGTGTAGTGGTTATCACGTTTGTCTTACACACAAAAGGTCCCCAGTTCGATCCTGGGCAGCACCAGTTTTTTTCAAATAATTTTAATTTTAATTTTAATTTTCTCTCACCCGCGATTTCGTCTCAAATGACCTAATTTTTCCAACATTTTATTGTTTAAAATAAAATATCTGTTATTTTCTATCACAAAACATATCTTTTTTCCCCTCATCCATAAATTTGTTTGTTACTCTCTCAAACTATGAATATGGTTCTTACTCCTTATAATCATACCGCCAAACATTAACAGTTTTTGTAATCTATTTAATCAAAATTATTTTAAGGATATAAGGTGAATGTGTGGAGCATCAAAATTTTTTAAGACTTGAGTCATCTCTGTTTCAGATATGATATTAATAAAATAAAATAAAAAAATTGCATAAATCACAAGTCAATCTTGAGAAATTATCAATTAAATCCCGACAAAAGCTTGAGTTGGATGAAGTGAAGTGGAGGAAAACATGATAATTATTATTTATACAGGTAAAAATCACAAAACCCCTTTGAACTTCAGGTGATTAGCACAAAAGGATCATACCCTCTCAAATTTAGAGAAAATGCCTCTGTATTCTGGGAAGTCTCACAAAACACTCCTGAGCTTTCCAAAACTTCTACCTACCGAAACATAATCGTTTATATATATACATAAAGAAATAACCACCCACTCCGGGTAGAATTATAAAATAAAATTCCCCTCTATTTTATTCATCTTCTGAATTTACCCAATATATATTCCCCAACATTTGCGGTTTCTATGTAGAATGATTCCAAGATTACTTATTTAAGTATTGAAGATGAAGATGCGTAACCTACTGACCTCAATGATGATTTAAATTTGTGATTTTTTGCACAAAGTGACCCACAGGCCTTATACCCAAAATCTTTCACCAACATAAACTTAAAAAACAAAAGATTTTANAAACTACAAAAAAAATAAACCAAAGCACTTGCAGAAAATGACTGGGCGGTGATCAAACACGATCCGCCTTTTAACCACAAATCTAATAAGCTTACAATTATAACAGAACAAATGTTTGCTACAAATTACGAGCATAGATGCAATTTTTCACGAACCAGACAGCTGTACGATGGAAGTTCACTGTTACGACCAGAAGGAAGTTCATGACAACAAGACGTCTTCTCTTCGTATCTATACCTATCATAGTTTTTTGCGTCAAACGGGCGACAAAATAAAGGAGCAAGGAATAATTTAAAGTTGAATCTAACATAGGTATATAATAATAATAATGATAAAACCAATTGAGTTCTGAACTAATGAATAACTAAGAATGTATAGAGACAAATCATCGGAGACAAGGTCTCTAGGTGGTCCTGCTCATCGCTTCTCATATACATTAGACAAATCTCAATCAGACAAATGACAACATTCTTGTATAAACAACCGACACTGAATCACACACAAGCAGAAACAAATGGTAGCAGAGAAGGCGGAAGAAGAGGCTGAGATAATTCACAATATACATGAAACATACCATAACATGAATAGTCTTCAAGCATAGGATATTCGGAGGCGCAGAATAGGCAAGCATCAACAGACACGGAAACCAAGATTGAAGATGAAAATGCCATTATACAGTTATCGACTAAAATTCAGGCTTCAGACAAAAAAATTAAAAATAGAAGTTTCTAACAAAAAGAAGAATCAATGACTCAATGGCATCCTAATCAATATCAAGATCTGTTTCGCAAATGCAGTAGCAGAGGAGCTTGAGGCCTTAGCTTTCGTGGAGGAATAAGAGAGAAGTATGGGTCAAATTAAGGATTAACAGAAGTTTTAACTCTGCTAAAAAGATGGAGTGACACTCTAGCTCTCTTTGGATATAGAAGTTAGCGAGGTATTGGTTATCTTCCAGCTAACACAACAAAACAAATGACGACACAACTCTATTTAGCAAGAACACGTCTATTATTAAGTCACGTCAAGCATAGATGTAAGTCGGCAAGCCCCACACATATATATAATGTATATTTAAGGATTTACTGCATGTGTTGGCGTGTCATGTCTATGATATGATGGTATATCAACATGCAATTAACACTCACATGATACCTTATTTGACATGAAGGTGGAAAACCTTTTTCATTTGAGTTGGTAACTCCAGCACAAAAAGTTGATTACACCATGATGGGTCATGGACTTCACCCAACTCCTCTACCCCTTCATTCATTCATTCATTCATTTAGGGGGTGTTTGGCAATCTGAAAGTAAATTTAAAATATGTAAGTTACTTTTTTTTGCAAATGACTTTTACATCTATGTCAGCACGCAAGTGAAATACAATGTTTGTTTGAAAAATTAAATTATTATCGAAAGTGCAATGTGAAGATGATGTGGCAAAATAAGATTAATTAGAAAATATAATTAAAATTATTTAATTAAATTAGTTACCTTTTTGTCACTTTCATGTGACTTCACCACTTTTTTAGGGAAGTCAAAATTACATTAAATCATATGTGGCAACTTTCTTACATCTCACTTTCATAACCACTTACATGAAAACAGGATAGTTAGAAAGGGCTAGATGAAGTTATGGTTCTGTACGGAAGTGGTCTTAGGGTTAGGAAGGATTTGATGAACTTAAGGTTCCATATGGTAGTGTAGTTAGGGTGTAGGAGTTTGATAGTCTCAGGATAGAGGATAGTAGGTGTTAAGTTTGGGTGTAGGAGTTTGATAGTCTCAGGATAGAGGATAGTATGTGTTAAACAATTTGTGTCAATTGGTTGTTTTGTAACAGAGTCTTACAGTGTCTACTAACCAATCCTTGAGATCGGAATTATTTGTGCACAACGAATGATGTTTTCTGGGCTGCCAAAGAGTAATTCCCACAATGTTTGGACACAACGCAAATATAGCGTTCACTAACATGTAGTTCGACTCCAACCAGCACAGGGTATTGCAGGTTGTAGCTAAAATGTGTTAAGTGGACAGCCAAATTTGGCGCAACAACACTTGCAACCTCTAACACAACGTGTGACACCCTCTTTTTTGGATCAGCATAATCGTTATAAGCATTGTAGTTGTTGGAGCAGAAAACACCTACCACTTGCAACCAAATCTAGGGTTATTTTCCCCTTACAACCAAATGAAAACCCAACTTATAGCACCACTTATTGCAATAATACTTATTAATGAGCCACCTATGAAATTAATAATTTGCGAAACAGGACCTAGACACTACCTTACTGCATCTAGCATGAAGATGGAACGAAGAAAAGAAACTTACTTGTAGAGATAAGCAGCAATGCCAAGAATTATGCAAAGGAGGATTATATCTATGCAGAAGTTCCGACTCGATCTCAGCTGGATAAAAAAAAAGAAATGCGAGATTTAACTAGAGTTTAGATAAAATAATAACCTTTCCACAAGAAAATGTGTAAATTTAGGATCTGCAGCTAACAATATGTAACTTACCTGGTTAACAGTATCTTTAAGTCTCACATTTGTATTTTTCAGGTCTGCATTAGCCCTGTCAACCTGTCTCAAGCAAAAGACTATAGATTAATAAATCATGAATTTCACCTGATTTTCCAAGTTTTAACATAAATAATAAAGTCAGGATTTTACCTTGCTGTCAATCTCATCCATTAATGGAACTTGCCTGTCCATTTCCTGTACGGTGGAGATTAAAAGGTAAGATTTGATTTGTTCTGCGGAAAAGAAAAGAAAAAAGAAGAAAATACACAAGACGGACCTCATTCATGTCATGGGCCATATTTTTCAGCGTATCCAATCCTTCAGCAATGACATCCAAGCCTTGATCCTGGAAAATTTTAAAGTGGCATTAATTATAGGTTTAAGTAATGATAACACCAACATTCAAAAGAGATTAACTAAGAGAGGAGACAGATAAAAATGTTTATTCAGCAATGGACAGCTACTTGCCTGTTTTATTTTGCGCATCTCATACTCTTGCCTAAACTGAGATGATTCTTCAGTTTGCTGAAAGTACTCGCTATCAAATTTGCCATCTACATAAAGTGCAAGAACAATATATTTCAAAGAGGGGAAACATTTGACATAAAATAAGAAAGACAAAGCCTATGCCATTGAATGAATGTTTCCTTTCTTTGACAAGAAACAAACATGAATCCAGAACATTGTATGAGACCTTGGCCATGTGAAGACAAGAGAGGAGCAAAAATATTTTGAGGGTTCTTACCATTTACACCTTTCCCAAGAAACTAAAATTAACATCAACAAATGTCTGAAAGAAACTACTTGGAAGTTCCAACTCGACAACAATCTCATATCTTATTGGAGAAATTATAAAGGATTTAAAAAGCCCCACTACCATCTAATATAAATAAATAGAGGTCATGCCGATTCTAAACAACTTTCGTGATCATTTTGATGCATGCTCGAATAGCAAACTCTCCAGAAAGAAGAAAAATTGCTAGTTGGTCAAATTGTTGTTTTATCTTCTTCACATCAGATGAGAAAACAATGCCTTCAATTCCTTGTAAACTTTGTCGAAAACTACAGAGAGCGCAAGGACAATGGTTTACTTCCCTTCACTCCAAAAATGTCTTCGATGTTATTAGATGCTCGATTAGATTATTCTATCCCGGACAAAACTCAACTATATAGCTCCAAAACTCCGTTTTAGCTAAACACATCACCAAATCCTGAATGGTTAACAATAGTAACAATCTGATGCAAACTTTGAGCATCAGTTATCTCTTAATCCTGAGTCATTGCTTCAGTGGAATCCCTAGTCAAATGACACACCACATTACAGCTTTTCAGATGAATCTCCACAATCTGCTTCAATTGGAGATAATTATCTCCATTCAAATTTGACCTGTAAACTCATTGGAAACGAGCTCCAAAATGACTATAGTAGATTATGACATGATTATCTATCAGAACGGAACCTCTTAAACAACACAGAACAAAATAAAGAACTAAAAGATAACCAAACAAAACAAAAGGTTAATTGCATTCTGAAGACCAATTAAAAATCATCGATGACTTCTAGATATATGACGTAGTAGTAAGTCACCTGAAGTTGAGTCAAATCTGATCTCTGTTCGAGAAGCTGAACCTCCCCAACCTCCACCCTGTTTTGCTGCAGTTGCAGTCCCATCGCGTATGGACTGAATCCTTTCTGGCAGTGCTAGAACCAAATCATTTCTAGCAGCAAGTTCTTCTTTTGAAAGTCCTTTAACCTGAAGTAATTTTAACGGAGAATATATCGTTACAAATCTAGGAAAATGCAACAAAACAAGCTCACCAAACTCCTCGTTACACCAAAACAAAACAAAAAGTTTTGGAAAGACTGCATAAACACTCCATTTTTATCTTTAAATGAATCTTGCATTGCGGCTAGTGTAGCAATATATCACTATGTTTGGGAGCTCACTAATGGAGGGCAAGGAAAAGGAAGGGAAGGAAAAATAAGAAAGGAGATGGAAAAGGAAGGGGAGGAGAAATATAATATAATGTTTTGGAGCTTAGTAAACGGAATGGAGGGGAATCATTGCTTAGTCGTTGGATTCATAACAGGATGGTCCAAAATCTTACCCCTCCATTCGCTTTATATTAAATTAAAAAAACATTCCCAAACAAGATTAAGCTTTTCCCTCAACTCCCCCTCTATACTTCATTCACACCCATCCAAACAGAAATGAAAGCTCTTGGTAAGAACTAGAGGGAAAGAAACCTTAATCAATAAATCACGAGGAAAATAGAGAAAACCCTTATATCTTATTATGAAATCTCTTGGGCTTATATAGGCCCCTACAAACACAACTTACAAATAACCCCATTCATATTATTAATATGTCAACACTCCTCCTCAAGATGGGTGAAAGATATCCACTAAGCCCATCTTGTCACATCCTCTAATCATATTTACCGAGCTAAGTCACTTAGTCAGACAGTCTGCTGCCTGATCCTTAGTTGGAACATGACTTAACTCTAGTAGTCCACTGTCCAACTTCTCTTTGATGAAGAACATATCGATCTCGATGTGTTTGGTTCTATCATGCTGCACTGGGTTGTTGTCAATACTGATGGCTGACTTGTTGTCACACCACAGCTTCATCTTGGCTCCTTGATCCAGCTTCAGCTCCACCAGTATACTCTTCAGCCACAGCAACTCCGCAACTCCCAAGGTCATAGCTCTATACTCTGTCTCAGCTGTCGATCTCGTCACCACTGACTGCTTCTTGCTCTTCCACGAGACCAAGTTACCTCCTATAAAGATGCAGTATCCTGAGGTGGACCTTCTGTCATCAGCACAGCTAGCCCAATCAGAGTCGCAGTAACCCTCAATGCTTACGTGTTCATTCTTCCTGAATATCAGTCCTTTTCCGGGGACACTCTTCAAATACCTCGGAATCTGGTACACTGCGTCCATATGACCCTTCCTCGGATCATGCATGTAGCGACTCACCACACTCACTGCAAAAGAGATATCAGGACGTGAGTGACTCAAATAGATCAACCTGTCCACCAGCCTTTGGTATCTGTCATGATCAACTAGTTCCCCAGCCTCAGCACCCAGTTTAAACTTCTGGTCGATCGGTGTAGTTACAGGTTTACACCCTAACATCCCTGTCTCTTTGAGAAGATCCAGTGCATACTTTCTTTGGGATAGGACAACCCCCTCCGCTCCTCGAGCTATCTCTATTCCAAGAAAGTATCGAAGCAAACCAAGATCTTTCACCTCGAATTCCTTACCCAGTTTCACTTTGAGTTGTGCAATCTCCTTCTTATCATCCCCTGTAATAATCATATCATCTACATATACCACAAGCATGGTAATGTGGCATCCATTTCGTCGAAAGAACACGGTATGATCAACGTTAATCTGTTGGTACTTCATACCTATCATAGCCCTCCTAAATCTGTCGAACCAAGCACGGGGACACTGCTTCAGCCCATAGATAGACTTTTTTAATCTGTAGACCTTGCCCACTGTATGATCTGTGTAGAATCCTGATGGTATCTCCATGTATACCTTTTCCACCAGATCTTCATGAAGAAATACATTCTTCACATCTAGTTGGTATAGCTTCCATCCACCATTTACTGTCAGAGAGATCAAGGTCCGAACAGTGCTCATCTTCGCCACCGGTGCATAGCTTCCATCCACCATTTACTGTCAGAGAGATCAAGGTCCGAACAGTGCTCATCTTCGCCACCGGTGCAAAAGTCTCATCATAGTCGATGCCACCGAACAGTGCTCATCTTCGCCACCGGTGCAAAAGTCTCATCATAGTCGATGCCATATGTCTGACTATACCCTTTTGCCACCAGGCGAGCCTTGTAGCGCTTAACCTGTCCATCTGGATTCTGCTTCACAGTGAAGACTCACTTGCATCCAACTGCTCTTTTTCCTTCTGGTAGTTTTACTAAATCCCAAGTGTGGTTCTTCTCAAGAGCTCCTAGCTCCTCGTGCATAGCCGCTTTTCACTTTGGATCCTTCTTAGCAACCTGCTAATTGTTAGGTACAGTAACAGAGTCCAATGATGCAATGAATACTTCATGTACAGTAGAGATGTTAGAATATGATACAAACTGGGCAAGATCCCAACCATATCTATCGGAAGGATTTCCCGTATTACTGCGAGTAGTCCTCCGTACTGACATTAGTGTGGGAGGAGTAAGGAGAGGAATGATATCACCTTGGGATGAATCTGATGGTGGTGTAGGTGTCTCGGGAGTCGGGGCAGGCATTGGCAAGGGACTTAGCACCAGTGGCAAGGGACTTAGCACCAGTGACACTGTAGGTATTATTCATGTAATTTGTTTTATCTTCTTACTATAGGTAAGTAGCTCCCCTTGAACCGTGGGCCTAACACCTCTTGTCTCCTTCTTTTCTTATTCTTCATTTTCCTGCTCCTCAACTAATTCTTCCTCCCAAGGAATCGATAGAGAAATTAATTTCTCCACATTGTTCACCTGCCTCTCACCATTCTTCCTCTCTGGCCTCATACTTTCAGTATCGGGCGAGTTACCAACGGATGAAGTTACCTCCCGGGTGTAATATGACTCGAGTTCTCGAAAGTGCACATCCATGCTCACAAACAGCCTCTTCTTCACCGGGCTCCAGCAAACATATCCCTTCTGAGTAGCAGAATATCCGACAAAGATGCACTTCACCGCTCTAGGGGCAAGCTTCCCGACGGATGGCCTATTGTCCTTCACAAAGCACACACAGCCAAATACCTTTAGTGGAAGCATCCCACCATTATCTCCCTTTAACGTCTCACACGGAGACTTTCAATCCAGCACTCGCGAGGGCAATCTGTTGATCAGCTGAGCTGCGATCAACATTGTTTGCCCCCATAATGTTTCTGGGACATTCATGGAGATCATCATGCTTCTAGCAACCTCTAAAAGATATCTGTTCTTCCTTTCCGCTATCCCATTCTGAGCTGGTGTGTATGAACATGTAGTCTAGTGCTGTATTCCCTGAGCTGACAAGTATTCCCCAAACACTCTGTTGGTATACTCTGTCATATTATCAGACATTAATACCTTTATCACTGCTCCGTATTGAGTCTGAACATACCTATGAAAGTTTTGAAAGTAACCAAACACTTTACTCTTATTTTTCATCAAGTATAACCAAGTAACGCGAGAGAAGCAATCAATGAAGGTAACAAAATACTTGTATCCATTCATACAACTTGTGGAACAAGACCCTCAAACATCTGAATGTATCAGGTCAAATGCATGAGAACTCTTATGATCAGAACTAACATAAGAGCTTCTAGTAAGCTTTCCAAACTCACATGCATCGCACACAAGTTTCTGTTTATTTGCTTTCTCAAATAAAGATGGATACAACCTACTTAAAACACTAAAGGATGAATGTCCCAAGCGCTGGTGATGAAGCATCAACACACTCTCAGCACTCATCTTGGATCCTACTCCTGCTCTCTCTACCATTGACACCAACGCTGAATCCAACCCTTCACGATCCAGGTATCATAGTCCACTACTCCATGTGGCAGTCCCAAGTCTCCGTCCTGTCCCCTTCTCCTGGAAGATCACCTTGAAAATGTCAAAAGAAACAATGCATTTTAGTTGGAGTATGCTATGTAGCACGGACACGGATCCGACACGGCCATCCGACACGCCGACACGAGACAAATCCTAAAAAATACATAGGATACGTGTGTTCGACACGTGTGTCCGACACGGACACGACACGGCTTCATGTTTTGCGTGTCCGTGCTTCATAGGGAGTATGATAGCATTAATGGACAAAAGATTGACTGGAAAGGAAGGAGCATGTAAAACATTGAATAAAGTTACAGAACCTGTACAATTAACTGTACCATTACTAATCACTGGTTAAAATGTACCATCAGTTGTTTGGATACTATCAGCCGATACTTGGTGAGTATATGATGAGAACTCACTAGCATTACCTGTTACATGTCGAGACGTACCGAAGTCGACTATCCATTCTGATGATCTATCGGGAGACATAGAAGCAAGAGCATGTATGTCATCAGTACCTTTGGTCGGATGAGCATAAGTAGCAGTGTTGCCTCTGGTGAAGAACGAAGTGGATGCCTCCTCAGTCCCACTTCTCCTGTCTCCATCTCTTGCTACTCTCTGCTTCCTCCTGAGTATCTCCAGGAGCGCATGATCCTCCTCAGTAAAGACCATCTCAATTGCTTCTTCTCTCTCTGCTAACATCAGATTTGCCCGGTTGCCTGCTCCTCTTCCACCTTGCCGACCCCCACGACCACGACCATGACTTCCGAACTGTCCACGTCCACCCGAATCTCCTTCCTTGAGTGGCTTAGTGCAAGCATGCCTTAGATGACCCACTTCACCGCAGTTGTAGTACTGTCGAGTCTTCCCCTTGGATCCAATGTTGCTAGAGGCTGTCAGTGCTGACTTCACCACAGGAAGTCTACCTGTCCCCGCCTGCAGCCTAATACGAATCTCCACTTGGATTATGGCCACAGGCGCTCTACCTCTGTGGCATATTCTTGTACAGTCCTTTCTCCCTGGACTGTGACGTTAATCTCTCCTTTGATCTGGAACACCCTCAGATTATTCCTCACCCCATCATAACCACAGGAAGTCTACATGTCCCCGCCTGCAGCCTAATACGAATCTCCACTTGGATTATGGCCACAGGCGCTCTACCTCTGTGGCATATTCTTGTACAGTCCTTTCTCCCTGGACTGTGACGTTAATCTCTCCTTTGATCTGGAACACCCTCAGATTATTCCTCACCCCATCATAGGTCCTCCTCAACTTCTCCCAGACATCCTTCGTCTTCTTAATGTCATCCACTATGGCGGCGATCGACTGGACCAATGAGTTGAGGAGTCAGATGTACACCAACATATGAGTGGACTTCCACTCATCTCTTCCCGCCGAGCCCTCAGCCGGCTCTGTCTTCTCTCCTGTCAAGTACCCCTCCAGGTTCCTCCCTGCAAGGGTGTATCTCACCCGCCGTGACCAGCTCAGGTAAGTAGCTAGTTCATCAAGCTTCAGATCGATGGGTGGAAGTTCCAACTTTGTCGGTGGCCGTGTCGCGCTCTCACTAGCCGACAACTTCATCAACTGCATCAAAGTTGAGAACTTCGCGAAGTTCAACTTCTTGATGATCTCCTCTATCGATCAGGCTTTAGATCAACCACATGTTCTCCTTCTCTTCGAACCCTTGTCGTGCGCAGTAAAAATTTCGACAATACTTCTGCTGCACAACAAGAGTAAGATCTCAACTAAATTCTTGTTTCTCAACGGAAACAAGAACCGACAGTGATATATCTCAACACCGTAAGATATACACTCTTCCTCTTATCAGTTCTAAGACTGACATGTCGAGGGAATCGAACAAGCTACACATCCTCTCATCAGTTCTATGACTGATATATCGAGGGAATCCAACAAGCTACACATCATCGGCGCTGGGTTGGCGGCGGTTAGGCGCGGGTGGCAGCGGGTAGCGGAGGGCGCGAGATGCGGGGGAGGAAAGACGGCTAGGCCAATTGCGTGCGGTGGTTTCCAGCAGCAGTCGCGTTTCAGCGATGTGGGGTATGGGTGTGATTCAGCGATGCGGATGGTAATTCAACGTGCCCGGGGGGCATTAGTAGGGGTTGCGGGTGCTTCAATGTGCGGTGTGGGTTCAGCGAACAGACGCGGTAGCGCTGGGTTGGGGACAGTGGGCATACGGGGGGAAAGCGGCGCGTGGTGGCAGCCGGCCGAAGGGGCTAGGCTCTGATACCATGAGGAAAATAGAGAAAACTCTTATATCTTATTATGAAATCTCTTGGGCTTATATAGACCCCTACAAACACAACTTACAAATAACCCCCTTCATATTATTAATATGTCAACAAATCACAAGACAGAAACTGACAGATCAGTGTTTTAGTCAAGCCAAGGAGAAAATTTCCTCCTACGACAGCAGAGGTCTCATTTATGTCCGTTTTGTGTGAAGGGGATAAAAAAAATCTCCTAGATTAAAATATTTTAAAGATATTCACCAATTAATTGGGGAAATCTGCTCATCTGTCACTTGAATCCACAATCTCAAATAGTCAAGTGAAGGATAAATTCCATAAACCCATGCCACATGAATTCGAGAAACACAAGAAGATGCATTTTTTTCCATGGATATCTCAAATGCATTGCAAAAAAACTAAAAATGGACCAAAATCAAACCTTTTTAAGCGCCAATCTCTGCAATTTGGGAACTTCCTCCATCAACCTCGCCTTCGTCCGCCGGATCTCCGCATTCAGCGCCACCGCCGACGCCCTATTTTTCTCCCGAGTCGCCAACTCCGCTTTCTAAACAACAACATCAACAACAACCAGATCCATCAGAAATCCCCAAAGAAAAACCCTAGTCCTAAACCTAAAACCCTAGGCTTTGAGAAATGTACCTCGAGAGCGGCCTCGATATCGGCCTCGACGGAGGAGTAGAGAGGCGAGCGAACCCATCGTCGCCGGAGACGTTGGGATCGCCGCGGTGCTTCTCGACGTCGTACTTGTCGTACTTGTGACAGATCGCGTCGACTCGAGTTAGAATGTCGATTACGCTCATTTTTTTTGAATTTTGTTTTCCCTTTTTAAGGTATTTGTTTTGATTTTTGATCTGCTGGTTCTTTTGAGATGCGGACGGAGCGTAAACAGGCTGTTTGTTTGGTAGACGGAGACGAGATTTAAAAAATAAAAAATAAAAAATAAAATAAAAAATAGCTAACTTAAAGGAAACCCCCCGTACTTTGGACGATTATAAGATGAACACCATAACTTTCAAAATATCACAAAACACCTCCTTAAGTTTGGCTGTTTGTGGGTTATCAGAAAACCCTCTTCAACCTTAAGTTTCTTCATAAAATCCCCTAGTGTGGTTAAATGCATTTTTAATGTCCACATGGTTGGTAAAT